AAATAATAGGTGGGTTTAATTAAATAAATTAAATATTTCAAATTATAAATATAAATAATAACTATTGTCAACAATTAGATACTACTACTAGCCATCAATTTCATACGAAATAGTTAATCGAAACACCTCATAAATTCTTGAACTATCCCTTAACCAAAAAACATACAAAATTGGATTTCGGACCTTGTTATATAAGCCACATGAGATGAACTTTTATATAAAATTTACACACAAAATTCATACATAAGTTGTATACAAAATTTTAATTATTTATTTATCTATTATAAATTCATTTTTACACATAAAAAAATAAAATTAAAAAAAAAATCAACAACAACAACAATATACTTTAAACTAAGTAACCCGAGAAAATTATGGATTTTTTTTAATTGCTTAGCACTTTAGTAGTAGCGGTTAGCCCCAAAAAAAATAAAAATAATGTTAGCACCCCAAGTTGCAAAATAACAGGGCCTGATGGGCTATAAATGTTGTCAGCCCGGACTCGAGAGGTTGTTCATATCTGGGCCCTGGGCTCCTGACGATCAAACCAACGGACCAAAGCACCCAAAAAACACCAATACATCTCCTGAATCGGGAGAAGAGGAAGAAGGTCGAAGATGGTTTGCCTTTGAGTCTCACGATCCAAGGAAGAAAAAATTGAAAACAATTAATGGCTACTGTCAAAGCAGAGGTTTGCCGTCTTCATTTGGTATGCACCTGCTGTATTCATTTATTTTGACTAGAGATTATGTATTATGGGAACTATTTCCATTTTTGCATGCATGAAATTGGCAACCCAGATCAGTAGATCACTAATTGGGTAAAGGGTAGATTTTTCTTCATAAAACCCTAATTACAGTATGTATACACTGCATTGGGTTGGAATTGGAAGGTTGAAAACGGGTTCCTTTGTCTCCTTTAGTTGTTACTTGTTTCTCTTTCTTCCATTATGTCCATTGTGTACCCAAAATAAGTCAGAGAAAATTGCACGGGTTGAGAGACAATTATTTGTCTCGATTCTCGTTTCCCGTTAGACTCTATCTAGATTCCATTTTGCTGTCATGGTCATTGAACATTTCAAATTTCAACGTTGTCCCGGAGACCTTTTCCATTCACCTAAAATATTGACTTGGGTTTAAGTTTAATTTTCATGATTGTGTCCTCTGGCAAGCAAAGGAAATGTGTGTGTGTGGAAGGTTGGGTGGAATTGGCCAAGGTATTTGGTGGCATTATTTACTGATGCTAAACTTTTCAACCGAAAGAGAGAGTTGTCACGTCTGTCTGGGTTCCTGTTGCTATCGTGTTTCCAGCATTATTGGTTTCCTGAACTTTTGATGCAGAAACTCCAAATTATTTCATGTTCAGCATGTCATGATCATTTTGGTTACATGGAAATGGGAAAGGAAATGTAGGCTGAACTTATCTAGGATTTGATAGGACATTTATTATAACTGGTCTGTTATGATTGCATTTGTTACATAAGGTGAATCAATGATTGTGAATTATTACAAGAAATCACGTGAAACTAGCCTTTGGAGTTTCTATAGAAATGCTTAACAACTTTACAACATGTCATTGATGATACCTCTTTTGTTGTTGTCATTATTTTTCAATCTTCCATGTTTCATTATGTTTAATGGTTACTAAGGATGCAGACGTATTCCATTCTTTAATGTCATTGAGATTGATTGGTGGTTTTGGTGAAAAAAGAAAAAACTAGCTATTTTTTTTATTTAAAAAGAGGCTGAAGTTTTGTTGCTAGTTGTTGAAATAAAAATAATTCAACCTTTTATTTCTTTATATTAACTTGTACATAGATGAAATTATTATACTTCTGACCAGCTTTAGTTCTAGCATAAAAATTATAATGAGGTGACATTGTATCCCATATCCATCAATTTATATCTTCGTAGAAAACTGTTGGTGATGACTGGTGAAAGAGAAACCTTTTATTATGTTCAAATGGTGATGTTTTTTAAAGAAGAAAAAACTTCTAAGATAGTGATAGTCTGGACAGACACTAACTTAGAAGTGTGAGGGGGAGAGGCAGAGAGTGTTTCTATACTTTATTTCCTCCTTAGATTTAAAAACCTTTTCTTTTTGTGTTGAACATAGAATTATTTTTATAAATTTAATTTTCAGGTTAATTTACATCTATAAAAGACTATTCAGACATGCTTGAATCTTGAACTTAATTACATAGTTTGATTCTGGTTATTTAGTTATTTATTTGCTTGTACAACAGGTTGCACAATACATTGACACAACATTATACGGATCGTATTAAGTTTTTATTGCGTTTTCAGTTGGTGAGCGACCCAAACTTTTCTTATCTTAGTTATGTTTTAGACTCCCTTGCCATCTACCTAAACTTCTTGATGATAATGGGTATTTCTCATGACCAGGACATCACTGGAGTGGTTTTATATCACAGTCTGCAGTTACTTGCATCTGATAGCATGATTAAATGTATGCATAGCTGGCATTGAAGGAAGAAGACATCTCCAACGGATGTCTAGGATATCAAACTGGCATTCTAGGATTTGTCATTTATAGTTTCCTTGATTTGCTTAGCAAAAAGTGGAAGATAATAGCTTCTTATATTTAAATTTCTTTTCTGGATGACATCACAGAGAATCTACGTTACTGTGAAATCTTAGTTTATGTCTTCTTCAAGGGGGAAGGAGTTAGTGTCTAACACATTAACTTCTATGCTTGTAATTAGCTGTGGTAGAAAGTTAGGTAGCAAGCAGATGGTATATAGGTCAAGCCCTATGCACTCATTTCAAATGGAATGGCAACACCATTCGTTTACTTTAGGATGCCTTTGGATACCAGCCTTCTTGACCAATTTGTCATAAATACTATTTCTTTTAACCTGTAGTTTTCACAACCATTTGGTCAAATTCCACGTTGCTTGATTTAAAATCTTTCAAGCATAAAATAATTTGCCATGGAAGACGACAATTCTGGTAAACAATATTTCCCCTTGATTTATTTTGGTTGGTTTCTAGAATTTTTTTGTTAATCTCTTTTGTGGATATTTATTTTATTGTCGCTTTTGGCGTTACTCTTTCTTGTATTTATTTGGAGATTGATAATTGCATAAGTAGAGACTACTTTTGCCTGATTTTCTGAATTAAATGGTCTCAGTTTCTCAAACCATCTCTTTCATCTTCCATTCCAGGTGGAGAAATGAACTTTCGGGTTAGAGTTTCCAAGAATTCTTTTCATACTTGGCAGATCAACAGCAAAGCTCTATGGTCCAAGGTAGTCTTTTGTTAAAGTATTCTTAAAAGTTCAATATTTGTGTTCCCGACTGCTAAGAATCAAAAATGTGCTAGTCCGGGAATAAAGTTGCTATTTTTTCGTTACCGTGCTAAGGAGTTCGTCTTTGTTTTGTGAACCTTTGTCATTGAAATATATGGAAAGCTACTGAAACACTTTTGCTGGTGTTCTTTTTCCTGCATTGTGATTGCTTTAAATGATGGTAGTTAAACTAGATCCTTTCACAGAAGTCACAACAGGAAACCTAATTAGTTACAACAAACTGTACCAAGAGACACGTATCACAGTATTACTTGCAAAGTAATAACATAATTAACAGTCAAAGTTCTTCCAAATTTCAACATCTGCATTGTAAGAAAATGTGGCTTGATCCTTGAAAAGTTTTCTTATGACCTTGCAGCTCTGTGTTTGCCCCCAGAATTGACATTACTCAAAATATATTGAACTCCATTGATGACATTGTTGCCCATGATGAATGGGAGAGAAAAGAAAATGAGGGAGTCCTTCATTAACAGTGAAATTGTCATTTTTTAACCTGAACTGTAGTTTTGAATCCGTCTACACTGAAAATTCTTTGTTGCATGTGTTTGATGGTATTTACACAACATTTTGCATGTTCATAACCATAAGTCAAGACATGACTTCACCTTAACTATGAAAAATTATTAAGTGATTGAACGACTGTTGCCAAAACTTTTTGATAGGGCCATATTTGCATTGCCACTCAATGAGAAGAAGGTTTTGTGAAAATTTACCTTCCATTACGAAAAAAGTAACGATTAATAAGGCAAACATGACTTCATCAAACCCCTTTCTTCTGTTGGCCCCCCCAGAAAATACGAAGAAAGGAAAAAGTAGTGTTTATGGGGGCATGATTTGAAGTAAAACTAAGCATCCATCTAATGGTCAATAAAGGGAAGTGTATTCATATCTCCTTACCTAACACTAAAATTTGTTTTTGGTGATCACATGCTCCAACTATTTTTATTAATAAATAAATAAAAGAAAAATTAAAAAATCAAGGCATTAAAAATGTAAAACATAATATAGGTCTTAATTTTATTAAATTTATTATATAATTATTATTATTCATCTTCACATGACTTCCTTATTTTCTCTTTTTCCTAAATAAAAACTATT